ACCAAACATGTGAGATACTGGGCCCCACTAAGGTGCGTGTCTTAGTAGCCACCATGATAGAAAAGCACAACTATTAAAGAATTTTTCCTTCCTTCCTTCCTTCCTTCCTTCCTTCCTTCCTTCCTTCCTTCCTTCCTTCCTTCCATTTGTCCATAACTGCATCTGTTCAGATTTTTGGAAGTGGTTTGCCACTTGCTTGCTTCCTAGGGCCGGAACCTAATGTGGGGCTAGATCGTACAATCTCCTGGTAATTGACCCAATATCACCCAACTGGCTTTCCTGCCAATGCCTGGACTAGAACTCGCCATCTGCTGGTGATTGGTCCCGTCAGCCAGCTGGCTTTTTTGCCTAAGACGGGACCAGAATTCACCGTCTCCTGGTGATTGGCCCAAAGTCAGCCAGACGATTTTCATGATTTAGGCAGGATTAGAACTCACCGTCTCCTGGTAATTGGCCCAAAGTCAGCCAGACGATTTTCATGACTTAGGCAGGACTAAAACTCACCGTCTCCCAGTTTCAAGCCTGATGCCTTAATCGCTACACCAAACTGGCTCTCGTATTTTGCAATTCCGGTGCAAAACGTTACACTGGAAAACCACTAGCTATGCCAAGTGACTTTCACGCCTTTTGTCTGCCCCATCCTGTCTCAAGCGCTTCCCTTCCCCCACGCTGAGCTCCAAAGCTCCCAAAATGGATCTTTTGAAGTGTCTTGAGATGCAAGGTGGACTTAACACTTCCTGCATGTGGAATTAGCTCCAGGCATTCCTTGTACAGTTATATGAACTCTGGGCAGTCTTAGGATCCCACTGGCCAGAGTGACATCACTTGGAAGTTCTTGAAAATTTCCTACCCTGTCATTTCTCTCGTCTAAAAGTTGCACCAAGTTTCCTGAAAGCCCTCGGGGCCTGCCATGATCGTGCTGATTACTTTCCAAAAGCAGCTTGCATTTCAGTACCAAAAAATATGTTTGTTTTTTTCCTCCTCCCTCTTGCCATGTGCATTTTTCTTAAGGGTAACTTTCCAAACAAATTCCTTCGTTTTTTAATCTGCAGCGAGACCCACAGCCCCTTTCTTCTCGTTTCTTAGCAGAAGTCTCACTTTTGAAAGCAGAAAAATAAATAATCTTGTTTTCTCTTTTCCCCATTTCTCATGTTTCCTTTTCCAGAGTTTTTTTTTCTCTTCCTGTCTTTGTGGAGAATGACAAGTTTTGACTTCACAGAGCCAAGAATCCCTCAAATTTATGTTCCATCCAAAATAGTTTGTACAGAAGTCCCCTTTCCCTGAATTCAGTGTTCTTATTTCCTAGAAAATACTAATATTGGGAAGGAGCTATTTCCAGGCTCACATGATGCTAAATTCCAGTTTGTTTATCTACAGCAGGGGGTCTTAAACTTGGCCGCTTTAAGCCTTGTGGACTTCAACTTCCAGAATTCCTCAGCCAGCATGCCTGGCTGAGGAATTCTGGGAGTTGAAGTCCACAAGTCTTAAAGAGGCCAAGTTTGGAGACCCCTGACCTACAGCTTGTTGAATAAGCTACTGTTAGTCAGGCTTTCACAGCGTACCAGGCCCTAAGTTGGGCCTGCAAACTGCGACGGCCCGTTTGCCAAAATATCACGGGATAGACAGTCTCAACTTATGACCACGCTTGCTGTCCAAAATTTCCATTGCTAAGCAAGACAGTTGAATGAATTTTGCTCCATTTTACGACCTTTCTTGTCATTAAGTGAATCACCACACTTATTAAGTTAGTCACATGACTGTAAAGTGAATCTGGCTTCCTCATGGACTTTGCTTGTCACGAAAGGGGATCACATGATCCCGGGACACTGCAACCGTCATAATTACATGCCAGTTTCCGAACATCTGAATTTTAATCACGTGACCCTTGGGATGCTGCAACGGTCATAAGTGTGAAAAAACGGTCATAAGTCAGTTTTTTCAGTGCTGTTGTAACTTCGAACGAATGCTTGTAAACTATCTGTATAGCATCTTGTGTGAACCTGGCTATTCACGGCATAAAGTTAGATATTAGGTAATAAAATGCCACTGTTTGTGCATTCCGTCTGTATGTGCCCTCTCCTACTTTTGTAAGTTTTAGTATGTTTCTCTTAATTTGTCCGTTTCACTGATAGTTACCTACTTTTCAAACAGGCAGCTATTTAAAGTTACAATGGCCAAAATATCTTAGGGAGATAGTTACGCAAGCGAGATTCGAACAGCTTGATACAATGATCAGATACGGAAGATTCCATTCTATACCATATGATGGACATATCTGCATTTCTGGAGCAGTGGAGGTAGAAGACTTGGCTCACATACTATTTGATTGTTGTTTGTATAAGAGGGTGAGATACAGGTATCTTGGTTCATACATTTCCTTGTTCCCTTCTGGGAGGAGGGGGCTCCGTGGCATCCGAAGCAAAACATCCAGATTCGGTCACAGTTTTGTTCCATACAGTATCAACCTTGTAAACTCTCAAGCTTCCTTCTTCTGTTATGTATTCAAGATGGACAATGATTAATATTTATATTACTTATGTGTAAGGGTGTAGGTCTATACATATGTTGTATATAGTATATTTTAAATGTGTTTTATGTATATGTACACTTTGAGAGGAAGCCACTAAATTTCATTTTTAATGTGTGCCATTGTGCCCACAGAAAAAAAAATGACAATAAAGGTTATCTAATTTAATCCAATCTAAAAATTAAACAAATAACCTATTGGGAACCCCATATTAAAACAACATATCTTATGGGCAGGCAGAATCTGAAAACAACACTTAACAGAGGACAGTACTTGAGTAAAATGATACAGATAAGATCGGCATATGTATGACTGATTGGGGTAGATTGCAGGGGTGATACTGAAATATACTTTTATCTTGTTTTACTTGTCTATATCTTAAATTATTGTATTTTACTCCAATTTCCATTTTAAATTGTTTTTATAGGATTTTATTAATACGTTTGGAACTCTGTATCTTGATATGGCCCATGGGCTAATCAATAAACTAAACTAACCTAACTGATAGTTACCACTTGAGCCTGGGGGATTCTGGGAGTTGAGGTCCGCCCATCTTAAAGCTGCCAAGGTTGTGAGTTTTAGACTGTTATCTTCTTTAATTCGGAAACAGGAGGGATCTCACTCTTTGCGTTGAAGATCCTTTAAGGAGAAGTTGTATTTTTGTTCAGACCCTGTGTCTGTGTCTCTTTTTGTGCTTTGCAAGCCACTCAAAAAACAGAACTGTCATCCTTACCCCAATTATGCCTTAGACAGCACCCTCCAGATGTTGAGCCATTGCAATGCCCCTCATCCCCCCCCTCGGGTGAGAGGTCCCAGCTGTGCACATCTGGAGGACAGCGAATCCTTTGAGAGAAATCTTTCTGCCTTGTTGGGGGGGGGGGAGAAAGAGAGGGAGGGAGGAAGAGAGAGGGAAGACTGAATAACCATTTGATCGAGATTATATAAGATAAATAGAATAGAAGAATAGAATAGAATAGAATAGAATAGAATAGAATAGAATAGAATAGAATAGAATAGAATTGGTGGAATTGGGCATGTCTACTTTAATGAAGAGAAAGATGAGGGGGGGCATGATAGCAGTGTTCCAATATCTCAGGGGCTGCCACAAAGAAGAGGGAGTCAAGCTATTTTCCAAGGCGCCTGAAGGCAGGACAAGAAGCAACCGGGGGGGGGGGGAACTAACCAAAGAGAGAAGCAACCTAGAACTAAGGAGAAACTTCCTGACAGCTAGAACAATTAACCAGTGGAACCACCTGCCTCCAGAAGTGGTGAATGCGCCAACACTGGAAGTTTTTAAGAAGAAACTGGACAGCCATTTGTCCGAAATGGTATAGGGTTTCCTGCCTGAGCAGGGGGTTGGACTAGATGACCTCCAAGGTTCCTTCCAACTTTATCATTATTATTATTAGAATAGAATAGAATAGAATAGAATAGAATAGAATAGAATAGAATAGAATAGAATAGAATACGGGATGGAATAGAATAGAATAGAATACGGGATGGAATAGAATAGAATAGAATAGAATAGAATAGAATAGAATAGAATAGAATAGAATATGGGATGGGATGGGCTAGAATAGAATAACAGAGTTGGAAGGGACCCTGTAGGTCATCTAGTCCAACCCCCCGGGGCCCAAGCAGGAGACCTTACACCATTTCTGACCGATGGCAGCCCAGTCTCTTCTGGAAAGCTTCCAGCGACGAAAGCTCCCACGACTTCCGAAGGCAATCTGTCCCATCTCCTGCCTTGATCTCCTGCCTTGATCAGGGGGTCGGACTAGAAGACCTCCAAGGTCTTTTCCAAGCCCTACGATTCGATGTCGGTTCTCGCGCCCGCGGGCGCACCTCGGTTCAGCCAGCCGCCGGGCGGGGGCAGCAGCGGGAAGCGAAAGAATCCCGTCGCCCCTCCCAGCGGCTGCCGCGGGGGGGGGGAAGGGAGGGGGGGAAAAAAGAGAGAGAGGCGGGGCGGGGCCATTCCCGTGACGTCACAGTGCCGGCCGGCTCATAGAAAAAGCTGCGCAAGGGCGGCCGCGATTCATTTCTCCAGCCACGCCGACCCGGGTTCAGGTCCAGCGTTAGAGCTTAGCCGAGGACCCGGCGTTTCCCCCCCCCACCTCGTTTCGGACCAGGCATTTCGGCCCTTGGGATTGAAGCGGGGGGGCCTTTTCTTTCTTCCTCCGGGACAGGAGTTTGGAGAACCCCGATTTAGGGTCGACTTTGGGGGGGGAGCTGCACCCTCCGCCCGGCCTCGCTCAGCGTCCCTCCGGCGCCCCTGAACCATTGCAAAAGACAGCGATCCGCAGGGCCGGGGGGAAGAAAAAAAAAAAAAACAACCCCAGCACCCCGACCGATCAAAGCCCCCCCACTCTCTCTCCCCGCCGCCTCCTTTTGTGCGCTTCCCTCCCCGCCGGTCCCGCATCCCGCATCCGCAACGAAGGTGGAGCCGGAGCGCGGCGACCCCTGGCTCGCCAAGATGCCCATGGAGCTGACGCAGAGCCGGATCCAGAAGATTTGGCTGCCGCCGGACAACCACCCCACGCTGCCGCGCCGATGTGAGTCCGGGCGGGGGGGAGAGAGGGAGAGAGCTCGGGAGAAAAGAGAGAGAGGGAAGGAGGATGGAGGAGAATCCGGGCCGGATCGGAATAGATGCCGCCTTTGCAAGCAAGGGTGGAGAAGGAAGGGGGGGGGGGGGAAAAAAAAACACCAACCCATCCCGGGTGGGGACGCGCAGATGGCCGGGACTAAAACGCCGATGGATCCGCGGGGAAAGGGGGAAGCCGATCCCGGCAGGCAGGCTGGGCCGGCGGGGATCCGGGCATCTCGGGGCGCGGCGATGCCCAAGCGCGGCGGACGGACGGAGCAGCTCCGAGGCCGCTGCAGCGTCTCCAGCGGCCGCTTCCTTAGCGAGGCTGCTGCCACCCCGACGCGTGCTTGGGGTTTTTTTATTTTTTGCTTCCCCGCTTGCACAGCTCCGCCGCCGGATCTTTCGGCTGGAGCCCGGGCGCTGCAGCGAGCGCTTGCAGCCCAGCCCGGGCGGATCCTGCTGGCGGAGCGCTCGCTCTCTCTCTCTCTCTGTCTCCATCCCGGCTGCGAAGGGGCTTGGATAGGCGGTGGTGGTGGTGGCGATGCCGGGCACGGCACGCAGCGCATGGCGGAGGGGCGGGTCGTTGCGAGCTGCACGCGCGGGTGGGGGGCGTGGGGGGCGGTGCCGGCGGGCTTCCCCTGGGCTTCCCCAAGCGGCGCCCTCCCAGCCCTCCTCATAAAGCGGGGGGTCCCCGGCGCTCTCTTGAGCTCGGTGTGGTTTCCTTGCGGACGTTTCGTGAGCCGACTAGGTGGCCTCGTCGGGGCTAGGAGGGGAGTATGGTTTGAGGAAGGGAGAAGGAATGAAAGGGGAGAAGGAGAAAGGGGAAAAAAAGGAGGAGAAGTGTGGGGTCCTGGGTGGTCTCTCGGCTTGGCGGTTTTTCTTGCAGACGCTTGGGGATGCAACTAGGGTGGGTAACATCATCGGGGTTAGAAGGGAATCTGGTTTGAGGAAGAGAAGGGGAGGGAGAAGGAAGGAAGAAGGAGAAGGAGAAAGAAAGAGAGACGGAGAAGTGTTGGTGGTTTTCTTGCAGATGTTTCATGACCCAACTAGGTAAGTTCATCCAGTGCTAGAAGGGTTTAAGGAGTAAGGGAGAAGAGAAGGAGAAGAGGAAGAAAGAAGGAAGGAAGGGGGAGAAGGAGGAATGATTTAAGGAGTGAAGGGGAAGAGAAGGAGAGGAGGAAGAAAGAAGGAATGAAGGGAGAAAAGGAGGAATGATTTAAGGAGTGAAAGAAGAGAAGGAGAAGAGGAAGAAAGAAGGAAGGAGGAATGATTTAAGGAGAGAAGGAGAAGAGGAAGAAAGAAGGAATGAAGGGGGAGGAGGAGGAGGAAGAAAGAGAGAAAGGAGGACGAGGAGAACTGTGGGGTCCTGGGTGGTCTCTGAGCTGGGTGGTTTTCTTGCAGACTTTTCATGACCCAACTAAGTAACATCATCAGTGCTAGAAGACAATACGGTTTAAGGAAGAGAAGAGGAAGGGAGAAGAAGAAGAAGGAGAAAAAAAAAGGAGGAGGAGGAGAACTGTGGGGTCCTTGGGACTGTCTCAGCTTGGTGGTTTTCTTGCAAATGCATCATAACTAGGTAACATCATCGCTAGTTTGGGTAATGAAACCTCTGCAAGAAAACCACCAAGTTCGGAGAGCAGCAAGGAAGTGCTTCTAGTCCCTGGACGTGGTTGTGGCGATCTCCCCTTTGGGTCAGTGCTTTCAGACAAACCACTTGCAGCTGTGGAGCACCCACCCACCCCAGCTCCAGTTCCATCCGGCGGTTTCTTTCACTTCTGCCCAAGAGCCAGAGCGGGAAAAGTGCACTCCCGTCTCCTGGGTGGTCAAGTTTTGGGAAGATGCCCTGCGGCCTGCAAGAGCTATCCATGGGCGAAGGGGGGTGGGTTGCCTTGCCATTTGGCCCCTCCCACCTTCTGCCCTCCCCCACTGGCTTGATTCTGAGCCCCTTAATTAACTACAAGTAGTCCTTCACTTGTGACCACATCTGAGCCCAACATTTCTGCTGCTAAAGTGAGGCAGTGGTCCAGTTTTGCCCGCTTGGTCGTTAAGCAAATCAGCACAGTGACTGCTTTGTGATTTGGGTGCCACTTTTTCTGCCATGTGGCCAGCCCCCTGTGTCTTTAAGACCCTCCTGGCTGCCAGGAAGGTGAGCCAGGTGGAACATTTGCTGTCAGGCGATATGGCCCACCTATTTATTTTCTTGGATCCAGCTGTGAAAACTTCCAGCAGGATTAGATAACTCACAGCAGTTGGCTATACAGTCCGGATTAAAGGGCGCGGATTCTCGGCTGACATGGCTTAATTTATCCTACCTTTGCCCAGACTTTTATCGGGCTGCCTCTGGCGTCGCCAAGCAGCTTTGAAGGATTGATTTGTTTGCATACTTGTAGAAGAGAAACAGACCGTTTCAATTTAAAAAAAAAACAAAATAAAAATATTAATAAATACTATAGCATTCTCCGGGTAAGCATCATCTGAAACATTTGAACCTAATTTATGGTTGTTTTGAGTGATAGACGTTGATTATAGTTATTCCGCATTCGTTTAGTGCAGTGGTTCTCAACCTGTGGGTCGGGACCCCATTTGGGGTCGATTGACTATTTCACGGGGGTCGCCAAGCAAGGCTGTCTGCCATTTTTTTTGTCCGCCATTTTTTTCCCCTTTTCCGGCGGGTGCCTTACCTCCCTTGGGCTGGGCCAGCTGGTGGTCGGCCTGCTCCGTCTCTGCCGCTTGCCAGCTACGCCTCGGCTGGCGCAGGGGGCGGAACCACGCATGCGCAGCGCTCCCGGGCAGTGAAAGTCCTCGACTTATGACCGGTTGGGTAGTCCTCGACTTACGACCGGTTTAGTCCTCGACTTACGACCGGCTTAGTCCTCAACTTACGACCGGTTGGGGTCGCGGCATTAAAAAGGTTGAGAACTGGTTTAGTGAGCACTCGAAGTTAGAACGGCACTGGAAAAAAGGGACTTATGAACCATGTTTCACACTTACGACCATTGCAAAATCCCTATGGTCGCGAGATCAAAATTCAGACGCTTGGCAACTGACTCATATTTATGACGGTTGCAGAGTCTTGAGGTCATGTGATCCTCTTTTGTGACCTTCTGGCAAGCAATAAATCTGTGTTATTTATAAGGTACAGAACATTCATTGTACAGATTTATATATATCTTGTACATGCCGAGCCTGTTTCAGCCAAAAGTTAGTTAATGATCGTAATAAAGACTGATTGAGTCATAAAAAGTCTGGGTGAGAGAAGGGAGGGAGAGAGAGAAAGAGAAAGATGCTGAAAAGTGACATCTCCCAGGTTAGGAGACTCAAAGGATCACCTTCCTGGAGAAATGATGAATTTTTTACAGTATTTTGTATTCCAGAAAATGGTTGTAAGTCACTTTTTTCAGTGCTGTTGTGACTTTGAGTGGTCACTTAGCGAATGTGAGTCAAGGACTTACTGTAATCTTATGCAGAAAACAATCAAGTATATTCTTGGATTTGACATATATGCATGTATGCATAGATAGAGAGAGTAGATAGATAGATGGATGGATGGACGGACGGACGGACGGACAGATGAAATAGATGGAAGAGGAGAGAGGAGAGATGGAATAGATAGATAGATGGATAGATAGATGGAATAGAGAGGAGAGATGGGATAGATAGACAGATAGACAGAGATAAATAGATGAGAGAGGAGAGATGGGATAGATAGACAGACAGATAGACAGAGATAAATAGATGAGAGAGGAGAGATGGGATAGATAGATAGACAGATAGACAGATAGACAGATAAATAGATGAGAGAGGAGAGATGGGATAGATAGATAGATAGATAGATAGATAGATAGATAGATAGATAGATAGATAGATAGATGAATAGATGGAATAGATGGAATAGATAGATGGAATAGATAGATGGAATAGATAGAGGAGAGATGGAATAGATAGATAGATAGATAGATAGATAGATAGATAGATAGATAGATAGATAGATAGATAGATAGATAGATAGATGTATATATGTGTGTGTGTGTATGTACACACACACACACATAAATATACCCTTACATGTAAGTCATTAACTAATTACGTAAGTACCTTTTTGGGTGAACCGCAAAGCTGTGTGAATGTGTACAACTATAAATCACTGCTGATGAAAAGCTGGATTGCATCTGCAATCCTCGAAAGCCGCCTGTCAAACCAGGGCCAGGTCCTGTCAGATGACTCAGGACTGCCAAGGGGGGAAGCCAAAGAGAGACGGAGGCATCTCCCAGAAGCTCTTAGTTCACTCCGTGTGAAAGTCTTATTTTGCCTCAAAACTCAGCAGCCCAACCTTTTTTTCATCAGCTCTGTCCAAACGATGGGGGAACTTGGCTCCTGTTTTCACACAGTAGCTTGAATCATAAGCAGGCAAAGTAGGGTTGGATTGGCCCAAAGCTGATGCCACCCCAGAATCTTTTTGCCCAGTTTATCGTTGAAAAACCAGGTTAGGGATGGATAATCATGGGAAAAATATATGTGTGGTCACTAAGCCTTGACCGCAAGTGTAAATGTCCTTGGTGCTCTCTGAGCTTGGTTGATTTCCTGCAGACATCTCATTACCAAACTAGGCAACATCATCAGTGATAAAAGGGAGTAGGTTTCTGGAGAGGAGGAGGAGGAGGAGGACTGTAGGGGTCCTTGATGCTCTCTGAACTTGGTGGTTTTCTTTCAGATGTTTCATTACCAAACTAGGTAACATCATCCATGCATCATCAGTCTAGAACTGTATGATGTTATCTAGTTTGAGTCATGAAACATCTGCAAGAAAACAAGCAAAGCACAAAGGATCCTACACTTCAACGCTGAGCTATAGATAAATTCTCTTCTATCAGTACACTTCCATCTTTAAAAAAAAAAAAAAAAAAAGAGCCACAGATGAGATGCAACATGCAACAGATTCTAATATAAATGCTGTCTTAATTGCATTTC